TGCTTATAAACATTTTTCTCCTCTTCATCTACAAATTTTAATTTAATCCCTATGATCAACAGCTCAATCATTTTATTTAAAAACTCGTCGAACTATATAATACCGCCTTTTCTAAACTTCAAATGTCAAAGGTCAGGTTTAATAATGAAATAATTATTGTATTTGATTAAAATTCATCTGCCTAGCTTATTAATTTTACAAATGTACTAATTAAACAAATAAGACAACGTATTGTTAATTGTTCCAGCTACTAAAACTTAGGGAAGATGTTGATAAAGATGTAAGTATTCGACAAAGCGTATTTCTCGAAAGCTCACGGCTAATCGTCTTAATCATTGCCAGGACGGTAGTTTAGTATTTTGTTAATCCCCAGCGATTTCATAGCGAATTAACAATACAGCCGCGAGGTGTGCTAGCGCTCCCTCAGAGAATGGCAAATTAATTCGCAAAATGCAGTTTTTGTCAGGCAGTCGAGCGCTCAGGTAACCGCTGGCCTCGATCATCGTGCATCCACCTTTTGGTCCAGTATAATTCCACTATTTTAAGACTACAAGATGTGCCGTCGTTGTCGTCCAAGGAGGGGAAAATTGAAGGCGCCTCACTGTATATAAATCAAGGGAAATTCGTTTATTTTCCCATCGGAACGATGGGTCGCACGAGCTCTTTGCATTTTGTCCTGCCGCGTACAAGAGTCTTTCTTATCTGATTGTCGGCGAGACGACGCGCGAAAGAAAATTGCTTCTCCTTCGCAGCAAAATATCATCCTGATGAGTTGGCAATGTCATTCCTGATTGCCAACTCACCAGCTCTATTACCTGTGCTCCCACTTTTTCTTTTATGAATTCCATGCGGAGTGAACATCTGACACGGAGACAGTAAAAGACTGAGAGAAAGAGAGAACGGGTGAGAGGATGAGAGGGACAGAGGGGTGATAGAGAAAATAAAGAGAAAGAGAAAGAGAGAGAGAGAGAGAGGGGGGGAAGGAGAGACAGAGAGAGAGAGAGAGAGAGAGAGAGATTTGGTATGAAATTACTTTGAAGAAATTCATTTGCCTATAGACGATTGTCGAAAACTCGTATATAATGTCTATGAATAAAGTGAATTTATATTATTTATATACAACCAGTAAAAGCATGTAAGTTAAAGCTTCATATCAGTTGATTAATTATCGATAAAAAAGAAGCGGGAAAAGAGGGAGACAGAAGATATATATATATATATATATATATATATAATCAATTTACCATATAATTAGGCCAGATATTCAATTTAAATAGTAAATATCCACTACGAGGAAAAAAAGATTGAATGAGATGAATTCAACGCGAGGATTTATTGTTATATTTCATTCGAAACGGATATTTTATTGCGAGCTATACCAAAATTCGTTTACTTTCAACTATTTTTCGTATTTGTATTTGTAGTCGAAAATATATTAGGATATAACAAGTTCAAACTATTAAATAAAAATTGTTTTCTCAAGTTTCTCATAAAATCTATAATGCGTTAAATGCAATTTGATTTACCAAAAAGATTATTGCAAATTTTGAAGAAAAAAAATGGAACAATTCAATTTGATAAAATATACTAACCGTTATTAAAGTAAGAGTGAAAATCAAATAAAAATAATATATACTATAAAGTAAGTTTTATTGAAAATAGAAAAGGCGATAAGAAGTAATAAATTATATTTACTTATGTTGTTGTATAGGATATTGCGTTCTTAATAAAGTAAATTAACTGTAAATGCATTGTATATATAAATTTGTTATTATTATTATTATTATTATTATTATAAATGTATTAAATATTTAAATATAAGGTAATTAACTTATTTAATAGATACTGTAATGGTTTGAAATAGAATAACAATGTAGAAATACGATATTAAATAAAAATAATGTTTATCGCAGACATGAAATATTATGCTAATTGTTAAAAAAATTATAATTTCGAGTATGGATAGATATACGGTAAAACGTATGATAAAGGCAAATAAGAAAAAAGCTTGAACGAGTGAAATTTCTTTTCGACATCAAACTTATACAACAAGAATGAAACGAAGAAAAAATAAGGAAACTAGGGAGAGAGAGAGAGAGAGAGAGAGAGAGAGAGAGAGAGAGAGAGAGAGAAGGAGAGAGAAAGAGTAGAATGTCTAGAGGGTAAAACGTCTGGGCGGAGCAGGGCGGTCCACCCCTAAACTCGCTATCGTAAGAAAAGCTGAGACGGCGCGCAAGTTACATAGTAAGGATAAAGAAAAGTAAAAGAGAAAGAGAGAGAAGAGGTCCACACCCCTGCCGAGAGCGTCAAGAGGGTAACGAGCTTGAAGGCAAAATCGAATGTGAGGCAAGAGCACCGGGCACGAACCTTAAATGTTGAGTTAGCGAGAAATGAGCGCAACTGTTGTAGAAGAAACAGAGAGAGAGAGAGAGAGAGAGAGAGAGAGAGAGAGCGAGGGAGCGAGGTAGAAATGGGGGAGGGAGAGGGACATACACTGAGAGAAAGAGAGTGAGAGAGTGAGAGAGAGAGAGAGAGACCGAGTGGGAGAGCTACAGAGGGAGGGAGAGAGGGAGAGCGAGTAAGCGCGACGGCATGGAGGGGAAGAGAGCGAGGTAGCGAGCCAGAGAACTGGGGAGAGATAGAGATAGTGAGAGAGAGAGAGAGAGAGAGAGAGCATCGGTCGGCCATGTTGATTTCACTGCTGTAGCATGGCTGCTGCTGCTACTGCCGTTGGCAGGTTGCGCTCTCTAATCTATAGTTTCACGACGCGTCAAATCCAAATGATGCTACAGCGACTGGCTACTTATGAATAATCCAACCAGAGATAAAACGAGGATACCTAATTAAGTATTATGTTATCGGATAGAAAGAGAAGGGGCTCGTAGTCTTTTATGTTTTAATTATTATCAGCATATTTTTAATGAATTTTGTAAATAATCGGATGCGAGTAGGAGAAGAGACATATATTGCCTCTGTCATTCTTTATTCATTTGTTCTAGTTAAATTCGAGATTTATAAGTGTCATTTATTGATAAACAAAATGCCAATGATTTAACTGAAATCAAATTTCATATTCAGTTGCTTTCACGCTGTAAATACTTTTACATCTGCATAAAGACTATATTGGAATATTTCAAAGTCAACAGTTGTATAAATTAGTTATATATTGTAAATAAATTCTCGATTATTTTTGATATTTCATTAATTGTGAGTTTGTCTGCTTTTAAGAGATAAAACGAATGTCAGATGATATATATTGAAACGTTATTAGAGTACAATTAGAAATAAAGTATAATACTAAATATTAGTAATAAAGACATTAAATTATTTTAATCTATTGTAGGCATATGTTTTATGACGCACAAATGTTTCGAATTGTATTGGAAAAAAAGTGTTAGTATATATGGATGGCAAGATAGAGTTATGAATATTTTGTTAATACGTAATAGTTATTATTTCAATGTTATTTTCTTGTGAATTCTTATATGAATTAAATTTCCAATAAACTTATAAATTTCTTTTCCATTGGTATAGAAACAAAATAATGCACGATAAATATTTTAGAACATACCGTAGATACATTTTAATTAATTATTTACAAATAAAGGTATCGATTGAAAATTGTATAAAATATCAAAGTTATATATACAGAAAGATATTTGAAAATAGAAATATAAATTGTAATTTCCGCGTAGCTTTTTCGATACGTAAATTAATTTTTTATGTGTGTGTGTGTGTGTGTGTGTGTGTGTGCGCGCGCGCGTGTGCGTGCGTGTGTGCGTGCGTTTGTTTGTGTGTGTTTGTGCGTGTGTGCGTGCGTTTGTTTGTGTGTGTTTGTGCGTGTGTTTGTGCGTGTGTGTGTGTGCGCGCGCGCGTGTGTGAAGTTATAGATCTAAGTGGAAAGAAGATTCTTGATAAGATCTATTTTTATTACCTGTGCCATGTTCCTAGACATTAACCCATTCCACAATCCATTGAGCAATTAAGAAAATAATATCCCTTTTTTTTCTCTTTATAATTCATAATTAATGTGTCGGGTCACTTTGGTCTTAATCGCGGGCGTTCACAAATTGCCGCTTTAAAATGTCCGGTCTCGTATGAGTGAAATGAGGCTTGAAACCTCTAATTATAGGGAAGGGAGTCGCTCGGTAGCTAGATTTTACTAGATACAAATATAAGTAACACGCGGGCGAGAGCGACAGAGAGCGAGAGCGCTGGCATAAGTAAGTGTCGAGTGAAGGAAAAGGTGGCATATCGACGGTAGCCGCCGACGGCTACTGATAGATTAAGATAATGTCGGACACATTGGTGCAGGCACGATCAAGGCTCCCTCCATTTCATGTATACCGATGAGCAGCAGCAGCAGCAGCAGCAGCAAATTTTTATGGGCCTACAATTAGAGGCCGAGGTGCAGCGACGGTAGCGAGGCGATTATTACACTTGGCCACGTGATCTCGGTTTTTCCATTTGCCTCCACTTATCGGGGGCTTTCTTCTAATAATATGTAGTTTTTTTTAAGTTTGGCTCCAAGCTTACTTACGCCAGCGTTAATTATTCCAACGACAATTATATTTAGTGCAATGCGTTAAAGAGAGAGAGAGAGAGAGAGAGAGAGAGAGAGAGAGAGAGAATGTTTACTAAGAATCATATTGTTTCAATGCTCATCTGTGTAATTGACGCAAAGTTATAAAAATGCTAAAATTAAAACTTTTTTCACTTCACCTTAAGATATTTAAACGAGAAAATGTTAATTGAAATACAAATGTCTTACTGCTTATATATATATATATATATATATATATATATATATATATATATATGGCCTTAATTATTCTTTGTGATTGCGTATATTTCTCTTGTTTACGCATGCATATTATATTTCATAAGTTAGTTAATAATAGCCGCGCGATTATAGAGAATTTAATTTATACGCAAACTGTTCTATGCAATTTAAGAACAAAAAAATGAAAAAAGAATAATGAGCCTTTTATATTTTACAGGTATGGTTTCAAAATCGAAGAGCTAAGTGGCGCAGGCAGGAAAAAATGGATGCTGCGAAACTTGGACTCAGCGAATATCGTCATGCGGCCAGCATGAGGTAATTTAATAAATTAAGCCAATAAAACGTGCTGTAATAATATAACGATTCACTTAATTATCAATAATACACATAATTATAGAATACGAATGAAAAATTAATTGGCAAATTTCATCGGTAATTTTGTAACTAAATGGCAAGTTCTATCGTTGACTGATAATTAAATGTTTCAATTTTGAATTTGACATTCAAGCGAATATTCGGAGTGCGCGATGCAAACAAATATTATCTACGTTTATTACGGACGACTAGATTCTTACTGTCAATAGAGATTATTAAATTCGCCGCTTTATTCATTTTGTAATCGGATTTATAAATATTAAAGTTAACACTTTGCGGGTGCTAGAACCACGGAGATAAGATCTCGCTGGCAAATATAATCAATTATTAAAGTATGCAAATACTTGAACTACGCTAATTAAATGCTTACAAGAAATACGCGTTCGAATGATTTAAAATTGATAAATGTCTGTACCAGTAATACCAGAAAAATGTCTGTAAGTGTAAGTGCTTAAACTTACCAGGGATATTTCATTTACGAGGAAAATATACAATGCAAGTTCGTTGATGCATTAAGTTTGTTGATTTTTCACCGATTAATCAAGTTTATTACGGCGAGTTAAAAAAATACTTGCATTTGTTTTCGAATAGCGTGCGTTAGGCGCTAAGAGTGATTAATCATTTTTTATTAATTAACCTTTTATGTAGAAATTTAATTATCAAGCTCCTGGAAGAAAGTCATTTCGTATTTCCAAAGGTCGCGTTATTATTGTCGACTTATGTCCTTGCGATACGCCTGTAAGTCTTGAAAGGCATTTTACTTAAATATATATAAGCGACAAAAAAGAACGGTCGTGGAGGGAGGCTTGCGAGGCCATTTGTGGCCAGCGAGCCTTAAGGTCGAGGACCGATATTAAGATTTACCATAACGCAAGGCATTCGTTTCAGCAATTTCCAAAAGTTCTGTTGCAATCTAATAATCGCCCATCGCTCGGGTATCGGTGTCGAGCTCACGGGGATTTTGGAAATTGCGGTAACGAGTGACTCGCGCTCCGGCTATCCGAGGACATTCTTATCCGAAGTATATCGTATTAAACGATACTCGGCATTTGCCAAATGTTGCAGGAACGTGGCGATCCCGGCCCTGGGCCTGCCCGGGGACCCCTGGCTCCACCCTACGGGGCTGCTCAACGCCTTGCCGGGATTCTTGCCGGGGCCGCACGCGGGCTACGCGAGCTACTTGACGTCCCCCAGGCGATTGCCCTCGCCGCCCACCGTCGCCGCCGTCGGCAACTCCCTCTCCGGTAAGGCATCATCCCATCCCACCTTATCGCGGGCTCTCATTAGGAACGGCTCACCTTAGCACCGAATTACGGCCCGATGCATGATAGCTTGCCGCCTATCTCCTTTAACCCTAATTTGACTCAACGCTCGTCGGCCTTCAAATTCTCCCTCCCACCGTCGTCTTCGCTCGTTTCCTTGGCCCTTCTTCCACTCAAACACCGATAGTGTTTATTATATTTTCTTGGCAACTATTCTATATATTATCGTGCGCTAATGCCATTGAATTGCAAAATTGTTTTCATGTTGGACTGAGCTGAGTTGCGAAGGGCGAGGATGAAAGAAATCCGTGATTATTTTACATGTATTATCTTTTCAAATCTATTCAAAATTAATGAACCGTGTGCTTTGTTGAAATGTTTAGCTGCACCACTCGTTCGAGATAAACAACTGACCGACGTGCTCAGACGATTATACCAGAATGTTATAATCGATATTCATCCGGAACAAAAGGTTCTCTTATTCTTTCTTGTTATTATAATCGAACAAAAGCGCGCGATCGTGCACTTTATACTTAATGTATATGTTTCAGTACATTTATTTGCATATACGTATATATATATATATATATATATATATATATATATATATCCATGGTTATTTCCTGATTTGCTTTTCAAAGTCAAATTTTGCATTGCCCGTGCATGTGGAACGTTGTGGCAGTTTGCGGTAGAATGTGTGCAGCTAAATTTATACATTTTCTTTTTTTTTTTTTTTTTTGGTTTTTTTTTTTTTTTTTTTTTTGGTATTATTTTTCGTTGTTTCTTTGTTTAATAATTATTGCTGTTGTTTAAATATAAATATTCATTGATGTAGTATGTAAAATGCCATTTTACGCAAATATTATTATATAATTATTGGAATGTGTAATTATAGGAATAGAAATGAGATTTAATCAGCCGTTTATGATAATTATGTATGCTTTTAAAAATCATTCTGGATTGTCGTTTTATTGGAAAATTGCATTCTAACCATGTAATTCGAATTTAAGAGAAACCCAATAATATTATTTACTTCATTCGTTATTGGGATTCGCGAACGTTCAAATTATTTAATCAATATGACTATTACATTAATATTAACGAATTAAGATTGTAATTGGAGTAGGTTAAACTATAATTACGATACGCTAATATTAAAAAAATTTAAGCAATTTACGCACTTTTCGGTTAGAATTTGTAATTCGTGGATTTTTGTTTGAATTTCCAATTTTAATTTTATCCATTCTAACTCGACGATACCATAATGAATATCTAAATTTACTTTAAGCGCAATAAATTTTCGTATTATTGAATGATTTCCATTAGTTTCAGGCGCATGCTTTACATGTTTACTACTTAGCAATGCCTTAACCAATTATATTATCATAACGAGTAATTTTTTTCAATGGCAATTACGACAATTTGAACGAAATACTGATAGCTTTTGTTGACAGTGAAACATTTAATCGTTTATGCTTATGTGCAAATAAGAGATTATATAATCATTAAAATCGAGTCAATTAAGGTTTTGAATGGTTGAACGAAAAAAATTTAATTCTTTCAAATTACGTTGTTTCTCGAATTAATTATGTCGTAATACGTTAAAATGAATCAAAGACCTCTAGCGGTATACAGTGATGTTTCGACTAATGAAATATGAATTTTTTAAACAATTCATGTAAAGCTATTCAGAAATTTAAATTTAAATAATCAAACAGGCTTTATGACCGTGAGAGAATGGGTAAGGTTTGACTTATCACAATACATTTGCTTTTATATGCAGTTTCAATATTTGCGGTTAAGCGTAACGATACCAATGTTAATCATTCGATTTGCTACTCGTGCAGTGGCGTTATGATTTTCAGGTGACGAATATTAACGAGACTCAGCCCACTGAAAACCTAGCGCCCCTTATGTTTTGATATTGTAAAGACATTTTCTTGGAATAAAACGAGCTACCTTGACACAAGCGGACATTATTTTAGAAGTGGCTACGGTAATCCATTCATTTATTTCAATTCCGAGTGTGGAAAAACTACACGTCAAATGAAGAATGTATTAAATCTCGTGTAATCGAGGCAGAGAGACAGAGAGACAGAGAGACAGAGAGACAGAGAGACAGAGAGACAGAGAGAGAGAGAGAGTGCGTGTGTGTGTGTGTGTGTGTGTGTGTGTGTGTGTGTGTGTGTGTGTGTGTGAGAGTCAGAGAGTGAGAGAGTGAGAGTGAAAGAGTGAGAGTGAGGGTGAGAGTGAGAGCGAGAGTGAGAGTGAGAGCGAGAGTGAGAGTGAGAGTGAGAGAGGGAGACGGAGAGCCATATTATCGATTGTACTATCGATAGTAAACGCGATTTAAAAGCGTTAAGACGTCAGCTCCTAACAAGATATATTCTGGGAGCCATAACCTACCGCAAAGCTCATCAAAGCGTATTGGCGCATCGGTGGAGCGCCATTAGGGTGGGTCGCCGCTTGTGCCAAGGTGTCCCCCGCTCGAGGAAATTCCAGGGGAGGCTCCAGCTACATCGGCATCTGTCTCAGGAAGGATTAACGATAAGCTTTGGCTTTGGCTGTTCGCAGGCGCACTGAGCGGAGGCATGGCGAGCATAGCCAGTGGGGGTCACGGCGTCCAACCACCGGCGAGTCCCCCGGGCGTTCAGGATCCGCGCACCTCGAGCATCCAGGCCTTGCGGATGCGCGCCAAGGAGCACGTCGAGAGCCTGAGCAAGGGCCTACAGCAAGTGGTGCGGGCGAGCTCGACGCAGCCCGGCCGCGACGAGACCTTTGTCTCGGTCTCGTGAACCCCGGAGCCCGGGTGCCGTCTTCTCGCCCTCGCGCGAGACCTCCTCGGCCTGCAAGCCCAGGCACCGACGGCCGACCGGCTCGAGTTCCCCTCGGGCCAGCTCTGTCTACAACGGGGGACGGCCTCTCTCTGCTGATGACCGGCACCCAGAGAACACGACGTTGACTTTTGCCGACGCTGACGCATCGCTTCGTCCGGTTTTTAAGTATTTGTTGCCTACTCTTTCAAGATTCCCGCCGCCGGGCTCGGGAGGCAGGCCCACCCCTTCGCCCCCATGCTCACGAATATAGAAGCCGTCGATAAGTAGATGGGATAGCCACGCTATCCACGAACTTTATATATATCTCATGTGCTTCGAATATTTTTTATTGGAGACAGATAAAGAGAGAGAGAGAGAGAGAGAGAGAGAGGGAGGGAGAGAGAGAGAGAGAGAGGGGGGGAGAGGGAGGGAGAGAGAGAGGAAGAGAGAGAGAGGGGAGAGGGGAAGGGTGGATGCTTCGGTGAGTCAAAACTCGGCACTCGAATGCCCGAACGAACGATCGTCGTATTTCGAATACACCAGAATTGCACTTCTGTCAATAAGCATTAATCTTTATTTAGGTTTTGATGTAAATTTCATTTCGTTTTAAGCGCATATTACCATCAACATTTGGACGAACTATTCTCAAGAATAAAAAAAGAAAAATAAAAAAAATGACACGCGTTCGGAGTGGATCGGATTCAGAGTGATGTAAGGCGCACGTGTAAGCGCTTTGATTATCTTTTGAATTCGTTTGAGATATAAAACGCGAAAAACTTTAATGATTCTTAATGTACTAATGCCTTAAAATTTAAAATAACCTTTTACTCATTGATTTATTCATCCTTTTTTTTAATCATATCTCGATATCATTCTATTATAATGGACAGTTTAATATTACTTTATCTAAAAAAAAAAAAAAAAAAAAAAAAAAAAAAAAAAAGTTAGCATCTGTCAAGCAGCCTCGTCAACTTTGACAATTATAATAGAACTTCATTTATAAATGAAATTATTCGCATGCATTTTCATTTGTTTCAATTCAATCCATGCAATGAAGATACATAATTTATTAATGCTCGTTCCCTAATGTTTGAATTACCGCCAAAAAGGCTGCAATTATTGGGACGTAAATACAAATCAAGATAATACGATGAAAGCCGAATTGAAAAGGAAATGCTACTAGAGTGCTCGAATAATAGAAAAATGACGAATGCTTAACGAGACTAAGTGGTGAAAACGATCCGCACAACTTGTGCGAATGAGTATGTGATAGATTGCGGCTGCGAGGGACTCGATGTAACCGACAGATGTGGTGGAATTATGTGACAACCCCCGATGAACTATACTTCCTGTGTTCCAACTACGAGCTACACACGTGATCCATGTCATTAGCTTCACGTTGTTTTTCACGAACCTTTTAACTGTAATTCGTTTATAATTATTGCCGATAACGTCCGTGTCTCTAATCTCAATAATTGAATGTAATACGTGATATTTGACGTAAGAGCTTACACACATTATGTATCGAATAATTCGTGCTCACGACAACATTAATTGGCTAAAATGCTTATTTTAATAAGAGACGATTTTTCATCTGGCAGCCGTTGCATTTGCTTCTGTATCTGTAATATAAATAAATTGTAACATATCTTATCGAATAAATATCATTTTATTTGTAACATTTTGTAGTTGGAAAGATGATGGTTGGTACGATAATAAAACTTTAATAACGTTTTAAAGGTGCAATATTGTGTACAAAATGGTAGTAACTGCACCAGTACGCCACCATATTAAATGAAACTGTGTTCCAAAAAAGTGATTCTTCGAGAAATGAATTACGTCAGATTTACGCAACTAATCAAATGTTTTATATTTTTGACAAGTAAGTGGAGCAAATATTCAATTACGATTTAAAAGCTTTTACGAGAAAAACGCAAGAAACGTAATTATTTAATAACAATTTTTTTTTTTTTTTTTTTTTTTTTTTTTTTTTTATAACGCTATTCAATGTTATAATTAAATTGAAATCGTAATAAGAAGAAGCAAATATGTCGTCACCAAATTGATTGAATTTTGCGCAAAATTTCTTGAGTGTCTGAGACAATCACCGATAAATAATGTAAATATGCGTGGCGTATTAAACTACGAGGATTCTAAACAAAAACAAAATTAAAAAAAATACAAAAAAAAAAAAAAAAAAAATTACGTCATTTCGCAAATAAAAAATACCATAAATATGAATACTACTTAGCGATGTATATCCCATTACAATTACGGGTAGTAATTAAAAGCGAGTAGAACAATATGCGATTCTAATTGCTGTAATGCGAATAATCGAGAGAGCAATTTGCAAAATATAATGAAAAAGAGTGGTGGCGATATAAAGATAAGCAAAAGCGCGAATGTAACTAAATCTGATTGTATGGAAGTAAGATGTAAGTCAGACAATGTAATTTGTTAGCATGAATAATTAGTATAGTGTATAGTCTGAATTAAACAGGAACATAAGCAAAAAAAAAAAAAAGAAAAGAAAAAAAAAGAAAAGAAGAAAACTATGAGCCATAAATTGCGTGGAAAGTATGCCGCTAAACTAATGAGCAAAGATGATGTTATGCAGTATTAATAAGTTATAAGATGATAAAGGCGTGTGTGCGCTAATAAACAATGCGATGACTGTAATGAAATTGTGGAAGCGCGACGAATTGCCGCAATTATTCGACCGATCAAATAAAAATTTCGACAAAAATTCGCACAGAAATTTCAATGGCCGTTTATATAATTTTAACCAACTGAAACAAAGACAAAAGCATAATTTAGCACCTGAATAAGCGGTATTACACCGTAATTATGGACAAAAGATACTTACGCGAGGTTTATTATAGCTTTTGTTTTGTTTTGTTTTGTTTTGTTTTAGCTATTTTGATAGCTATTAAGAGACAAGACGGTAAAATATTCGATTAACATTGTTCGGTATCATTACAAGATATTTTCAAGTTAAAAGCAGCGCAAAAATACGTATGTTAAGGAAAATGTTAGCGACACACTAGGCATTCAATTTGTATATAACAGCTCGTGATGAAATAAATTTGATGTACATATTTAATTTGTAAAAATAGTACTTTTACCGCAACCCTATCCTACATTCAGTATTGTGGCTGAAAAAAATTATTGAAGCAACATTAAAATTGATAGAAAGTACAATATTCCTTCAATCCCATTTATAAGCCAATTTTGTATTACAATATTATATTTGCAAAGTCTAATTCATGACCAGAATATTTAATTCGGTAGTTGAATTTGCATGAGAAAAAATCGGGTTATATTATCTTAATATTTTATAAAAGTAATTAGGAGCTCCTGATAATACAAATAAATACTTTTATTTCTACGAATTTGACAGATTCTCTACACTTGTCCGATAATAATAACAATACAAAGATTGTCCAATATAAAAGCAATGCTCGTAATTTTAATGCACAATGGATAAAGATTGCATTAAGCTCGATTAAGCTCGTTATATCGATAGATCTTCAATCGACGAGTTTTTCTAAAATTTCAAACGGGATTTAAAATTCTTTCGCGAATAGTAACGCCATACGTGTTTGCCGACGTATTACCATTTCAAAGAAGAGCTTCGATGATCAAGCTTTAATTAATTTCGTGAAAGTGTGAGCGGCTCGGCGGGCTTGGAAGGAGGTTGGTTAACGAATAGAGCGGTTGAGGATGTTTGGGGGGGGGGGGGGATCCACTCAAGAGCAACGTGGCGTCGATTATTTGGTTTTCTTTCGACTTAATTAAAAGACTGTAGCTAGAGCCAAAATAAACTGAGAATATTAGCTCTTTTGATGGTTGCAAAATAGATGAGAGAATCCGTGAATCTCAAGAATTAACTTCCGCTTTTTAAATTTCTTCGAAGCCCTTTTATGCTCTCGCTGTCTTCTAAACTTTTTCTTCTGGAAATTGAATGACCAGCTGAGACGAAATTAATGACTTTTATATCATTATACTTCAAAGAATTCTTTCAATTACATTCCAAAAAGAATTTAATTTTAAGTTTTACATCTTAAATAAAACAAGAAATTGGATTAATTAATGCTAAGGGTATTTAATAAATAAAATAACGATGCTT